TGCATAGCAAATTGAAGAGCTGACTTCAATAGAAGTAGGCATAATGAGCATAATAGAAGAATAATAGACAAGAAAATGGAACCTGATGCAAGATCATGGGCTTGTTAGCAAATTCAACGAGTGGCTTGGGGACATTAAGAATGTGTTTGACTGGCATGAAAAATATCACATAGAAAAGAAAATGTTTTCCATCTTTTGTGGAAAATAAAAATCACCCCTACCCAAGGAAAATGTTTTCCTTAAAAACAAGGAAAATTAGGCATATTTTCAAAAGTTGGAAAATGTTTTCCATAGAAAAAAATAACAATCGAACACTCCAAACAGAAATTTGGGTGAAAAACTGATATTTTCCATGGAAAATAAATGTAATCAAACACATCCTAAGTGTCAATGGCCTCAAACGAGTACCAAACCCTCCAACGAGAATTAGAGCCTTCATCTTGAGACTAAGATGATCCCCTTTATCCTAATTACTGAATCACCTGAAATTTTTCAGAAAAATATTTTTGATAGACTGATATGAAATGCATAAAAAATGAGCTTTCGACCCTCGATATTTATGGATGCAGTAATTAAGAAGCAAGTAGCACGACGGCAATCCTCTTTCACATCTGTAAGCGGGAACTCGGTTTCATCCCTAAAAAGGAAAGCTGTCAGTCCTTCCTCACTGTTCTATGCAGATATTGACACGAATACACGGATGCTTCTAGAGCAAAGATACTTGTCCATAACAGGAATGCAAAATTATAATGATAAAATTCAAAGTGCAGTTGAGGAAACGGCCAATTTTCCTTTCACAAATTATAAGATGAATGGTAGTGCTAAAGATGTCAAGAATAATCCTTCGAAATGGTTTAGATGGAAAAAGGAAACAAACTTCCAGCTATAACACAGGACGGAGCTTCAATGTTAAGTAATGAATCCACCAATATATTGCATTAGATTACAAGATAAGCATTACAGAGAGTGGACAATACACTGTGGCATAGAAGAGGAAATTAATTACCTCGCACACAACGATTCGAAATAGAATCTAATTATCCTGGTCTGAACGACATCCGGTTCTTGATCAGTTGAAAAATTACGATCAACCCACGAGAATTTGATTTCGTAAAATCAGAAGTCATGAAACTAAAATGCAAGACAAGAAATGAAAATTGTTTGCATGTATGTTTTGCATTTGAGCACTTTTATTGAATTTTAGTTTAAAACTTCAATATACAAATTTAAATTTAACCATCGAAAAGAAAAATTGTAAGAACTCCGCGTATGTGTATTGTACACACACACACACACATATATACATATTTATTTATTTATTTATTTATTTATATTTTCACGCAATCATCGCCTCATCCATTTTCACATACAATTCACTTCATCCATACCAGACAACCATTGTAAAAACTCTCCCTCGTTCTACTAAGTTTCAAATTTTGGCAAAATTGGTAAAATAACAAACAAATGTTTGAGCTATATATATATTGCATATGAGCACTTTTATTGAATTTTAGTTTAAAACATCAATATACAAATTTAAATTTAACTATTGAAAAGAAAAATTGTAAGAACTTTGTCACTCGACCATCACCTCGTCCATTTTCACATACAATTCACTTTATCCACACCGGACAAACATTGTAAGAACTCTCCCTCGTTCTACTAAGTTTCAAATTTTGGCGAAATTGGTAAAATAACAAACAAATGTTTGAGCTTTATTCCGAATCATCCTCGCCCATCGAAAATGAGAAATATACGTTCTCATTTTTCAACGAGCATTCCTAGAAAAACACATTTGATTTATTAACACTACATATAATCATTTGATTAATGTCATTTCTTTATTAAAATTAAATATTTTGAATTAAATTTTCATGGTAGAATTTATACTCTGTATTATTTAAAATTCATTTGCTCAAGACGCTAAAATATAACACATTAATATGTGAATTATTATAAAAAGTCTGAAATATCGTAATTTCTTGTATATCATCTTAAATATAATTTCTTCTTCTTCTTCTTCTCTCCCTCTCTCTCTCTCTCTCTCTCTCTCTCTCTCTCTCTTCATCCTAAATTTCATATCTAAAAATAAAAATAACAAATAACAAACGAAAAATAACAAGAAATAGAAATGTGAAAAAAAAAATCATATTAACTGTTCAAAAGTAATTGTAAATTGTATACAAATCGATGGATGAGGAAATTAGTGATGTTAGATTTTTTACTATAAATTAATAAGCATATATTTCAACTTTCCATAAAATCGAAATTTAGAGCTTCTGAAAAAAGCTCCACTTTGGAGCTCTTCTTTAACAACTTCCAAAAAGGGTTTTATTTATTTATTTATTTATTTATTATTATTATTATTATTTTCATAAGCACTTCTCTGAGTTGCAACTAACTTACTAAACAATCGCATTTTTATACAAAAGTACTTTGACCTTTTAAAAGTGCTTTAAACTCCAAAAAGCTTCATAAACACGCCACACTTATTCCATTGAACAATGTTACATGGACAGAATTTTTTGATAGAAAAATCTCACAAACAATATAAGGAGCGACATCATTGAAAGGTAAGAAAAATGAAAAAAACAGTTCAATCATGTTTTGCCACAGTGTCGATACAAATTCTGTTAAAAATTTTTTGTACTCATTACTTTATTGTATTCCATTTAAGCATCCTAATCTTCCTCTCCAATCTAGACAATAAAAAGTTATATTCCGGAATCTTGTTAACTTTTTAAAGAAAAAGCATATACTGTTGACAGTTTCTCAACCTTTCAAGAAATAGAATATGTCCAAATTATTTGTTTAATTACAGTAAAATCCAATATAAAAACCTGCAGAAATAATTTGGAATAAAATAACTATATTATTAAAACCACTGGATACAAGTATAATGAACAGGAATTCGTGAAGTATTTCTCTATTTATTTGATACTTTATTTTCCTTAAGTTATAAAAATATATATACATATCGTTCTTTCCCTTTTACTCTACTTTCCTTTCTCATTTCCAAGACAAACTTTACTTGATCTTTAGCCACACGGAGGTCCAAAAAAGGGTAGGAAATTATAATAAAATGAAACAACAATCATTTTACATAATCGGATAACCATATTATATAAAATTTTAGGTAAGAGGTTTATATTACCGTCACCGGGATTGTGTAAAGGACTATCTCATTCAACGTGTGAGTTTTCGCTTCTTTCTAATATTCTAATTATTATCTTGTTTTCGAAACAAGAATCTTTATATATTAACGATTTACATCCTTCATGATATTTGATAAAAACTAGTATTTATTAGGATACGTAAAGTTAGACCCGAATAGATTATAGGAAGTCATTGATAAAGAATAAAATATAATTATAAAATATTTCGTAGGGATTATTATTAGGACTCGAGTACTTAAAGATTATTTTAAATATTATACATTGAAGGAAATGCTCATCTTTTTATGTATATATACTCTCTATTCATTTATATTACTAGAGTTGATAATGGTTTTATTAAAGTCGCATTTAATCACGTACCTATAATATTGGTTATAGGACTTTTGAAAAGTAAAAACTTGCTTCTAAAGCTATAAAATTATTTATAAACATGTTAGGAAGATCTTTTGAAAATTAAAAGAATTTTTAAAAGAAATTGATCTAAAATAGTTTTTTTATGAAACTCTTGTTGGTGAATTGGTGTGTATGGAGTGACAAATGAACACAAATAACAGCTTTGAATGTTGGTAAAATCCTCCAAAAATTTTGGCAGAGTAACAGTTATAAATAAAATCAAAATATGCAGCAAATAATGCCGAACAAATGTAACTCGAGACAAGTGTTGAACATTTTGTCCTTAAGTCAAATTTTCCCCGCAACGATGCCTACGGATTCACGGCAATCGACTTCCAAGATACAACGGCTTCTTCTTATATGAATAGCACTTCAACACACAAGAATGTTGAACCAAAAGCAGAGTAGCACTCCCGAAATGCAAAATTATGAAGAAAACCAATATAAGCAACGTATATGCAAAGATTGGTTGAGAAAGGAGAGAAAATGAAATGGTTATGATTGCATATCATTGGTAGGGATGGCAATCGGGCTCATCGGCTCGGGCCGCCTGTGACTCAGCTCGGGAAAAGCCCAAGCTGGTAGGCTCGGGCCGAGCCCCATTTTAGGGACACGGGCTTTGCCCGAGCCGGCCCGTGAGCTCGCAAGCTTTCAAAAATAATAATAATAATAATTAAAATTTTGAGACTAAAGGCAGCAAAACTGCTGCCTTTTAGAGAAAAAAAGGGAGAACATGAGCTTGCTCGGCTTGGCTCTGAAGCCCAGATCGAGCCCGCAAAAAAACTCAATCATTTTAACCGGGCCAAGCTTGAGCCAAAACTTTAAGCTCGCGAGCGGGATCGGCCCGACTTGTTTACATCACTACATTGGTGTGAGGAAAAGGACGTCCCTAGGCCCCTATTTATAGAGCATGAAGGGTTGGAGATGAAAGAATGCAAGCCAAATATCACGATCTTTCGAACCAAAACACCATTTGATGTCGCTAGCTTTTCGCTAGAATTTTGCTCAAGCAAAAAGGCCACTGTTCGATCAGTGCCATTGTTGCTCGCATTTCGCTCGAGTGACATATAGGGTTAAATTACCCAATTTTCCTCATTTTTCTATCCAAATTTGGATCTCAATTTCTCATTCATTCGGAATTAGTTTTAAGATTTCAAATATACTACGACGATCTACTCGAAGAGTAGAATAAGTTGGTCTATATACTTCCATATTTTGACCATCGGATCAAATCCAAACATTTGATCAAAGTTGACACCGAGTCACGTTTTCCAACTTTTACTTTAATCAATTGAGTTGAAGAATATTAGACGTGTCTAACCTAACGAAACACCAATTTTGTCAAATATTCACTCTTAAGATTCAAGAAAGGAAATATGATGAACACAATGAAGCCCCATTTGAATCTCATTACATTTTATTTTCTCTCTCCTATTTTTAATCACACAATCTTCCATAAAATAATATTACATGTAAACCAAAAACTTTTCATTCTTTTTCAACCACTCATTTTTCAAAAAAATACTATTCCACCCAATTTTCATTTCCAAAAAATGGGCGTCAAACAGGGGCTTAATAACTTCTTTGCATGATATCTTTCACAGTATCTTAAATGAAGAATAAAAAAGAGTCAAACTGATGAGCATGTCCTAATAAAAAAGGACCTTATCCAAATCATATCTGTTGACTATTATCGTCTAGTAGGTCTTCTAAGATATACCACGTCCCACGATTTACCTCCCTCACAAAGTTCTAGGGACGAGACGGTAGGGGTCCTCAAAGTTGGGATTCAACCTTTAAAGATATGCCACCTCCTAACTTTAAACATCAATAGTCTGAAATCAATAAAGATTTGTTACAACTTGAGGATCATCCAACATTTATTGAATTAAAAAAGTCAATTAGATCATCTTATCTGAATTTTTCGAACTAAGAAATTCATGGAAGGGAAATATTTAGTTTTCAAGTAGAAGAGCTTGCAAGCGGTGTTTGATTGACTGCATATTAATAATATTCGATTGGTTTGGTCTAATATTATCGACAATTTTTTATTTTTAATCTAATCCACTCCATTTTTTCACAAAATTAAAGCATAACACAACAAAGGGCATTTTATCTTTTTATTTCTTTTTTTTTTTTGTCCAAGTTGCGATTTTTTTGTCTACCACACTTCCTCTTTTCTCTCGTAGTTCGTCTTCTTGAAGATGGCAACATGTCCACTTGGCTTTCACGGCTTATGCAGTCTTTTCTGGGGCGTATAAATACCAATATGTTATTTATTCTCCCTCGGATCCTCAGAATTTCATGTCCTCTTTGTGTTTGAAAATTTTCCCGAGTATTATTAACAAATATATAGTCAATAATTAACTTTCATGTGATCAACTCCGAACCTCGTCCGCTATCGAATTAATAGAAGACTTAGTTTTGTTTCGTTGCTTAACAGAGAAAAAGAAGCACAACATGGAGAAGGCAAAGCAGATGAGTGAGTTGTCATCTTCATTTACTGCAGTTCTCTTCGGGCCAAATGACTCCTCAAAACCCTCGTCGTCGGGCTTTGTTGAATCTATTTTTGGCCCGAATAACAAATATGGAAATTCAGGTTTGCCATAATGGATTCTAGATACTAAAGATTTGATATATATATATTTATTTATTTATTTTAACCTTTTTTGGATCCTTTGATTTCGAGATCATATGTCCCAGAGAAGCAAGGAAAGCTTTAATAAGAAAGAAATGAGTTCCATTCCATACCACTACAACTCATCCATCTACTATGGTGCCCAAGATGTTTATTCTCCAACAAGTCAAAATACTATTCCTCAGCATAATACTGTAAGTACAAGCCTTTTCTTCTTAAAGAAGACAGTAATATTCACTCCTACACTTAATATTTTAAAAGCAAATAGCCATTTGGTAAAAACTTTTCTATTTTTTACTTGATCAGTTCAATAAAGATGCAGGAGATTTTGCTTCAAGAGGAAATTGGTGGAAGGGTAAAAATTATTTCTGCAGGACATTCTAGGCCCATTTGGCAGGACTTTTACTTTTGGACATTTTAGGCCCATTTGGCAAGACTTTTGCTTTTGTTTCGTTTAGAAGAGTTAACTCAGACCAACTTCTTCTAATAGCAACTCTTCTGGTCAGACAAATTACTTTCACAAAATATTCAAACATGTTCAAAAACTGCTTCTAACTTTTCTAAAGTCGTGCCAAATGGACCTATTTTCTACGTGTAATGTGTTAGCAGAAAATATTATGATTTCACAATTACACTGCATTTGTATTTTCAGGATCCCTCTATTACTAATGGCTTCTCTTTGTTGTATATGTCTGTAGCAGATGAGAGGGTATTTAGTAAACAGCTACTTTTATTGGAGGTTTTTGCTCGATTCAATGTAGCCTAATTTAGATATGCATTAATTCCTAGTATATGTTTGCAATCAGACAAATAAGTTAATCTTCAGCTTCATGAATTTTGTATTCTCAAATTTATTCGATTTATCGCTACATCTAGAAAAATATTCTTCACCACCCCATCATTTTAAACCACCATAGATAGCGGACCTTCTAACATTCTTCTAATTCTTTATACCATTGATAGATGTCTATTTAGTAACATATATTTAACATCCGAGCAGAAGGGTAGAATTCAAATTAGTTAAAAGAAAGAATATATATTTTTTAGCCTTTGTTTGATTAGGTGGGTACATAATATATAATCAAGTTTCAACTACATGCCTTTTTATGTTGCAGGTCACTATTTGTTATCCAATCTAGGAATTATAATTCACCAGAAGACTCTAGAGTATATCACAGGATGAAAAACTAGGGTGTCATTATGTAGAAGAAAAAGTTGAAAATATTTCTTCAAATTATGATTGAGAAGTACAAAAAATTGATGGGAATGTCATTTTTGAAATGCAATCTTTTGCTAAATTATGTATATCTTTTGGTTTTGAAGTGTTGATGAAGGAGTTGAAGCTTTATGTCAAAGCCGTCCACTCCAAATATTTTGCTAAATTCCCGAGAAAGGAAGCCAGGTCCTGTTGCCCAAGGCTATTTACTTTGAATTTTTACTAGAATTTTATGAAGGGAGTTGAGGTCCCTATTTTCCAAAGCTCTTTGGCTTGTTATATATGTATATATATTTTCCTGAGGCAACAGGTCAATACTGTCTTCCAAGCTGAAGTCTTGACACTTGTAATTGTTTTTCTTTTCATTTCGTGAGGCTAAGCTAACGGCTCATGCATGGTCCTCTTTTACAATTACTCAAATGAGATTTGCGTATTTATGGGGTGGCCCCTATGGGGTCCTTCCTTATCATTTTCTATACCAAAGTGGTTTCCTCTTCACCTTTTCTTTAAATGGACTTTTGTTACAAGTACATTGTACGGTTTTTTGAGGTTATTCATAAGGTGGGGCTATGTCCTCTTCGACCTATTCTGTCCCTCCTCTTTTTACCTCTTTCAATAGGGTCGATGCATTTAGCCCACTAACGATAGGAGGGTCGGTCTTCACCTTTTGAGCCAAAGTTTCAACAGATAATATAATTCTATGAGGCTTATGTCTAAGCTGTTTTGGTCTTGCTTTGCTGGAGCAATGGAGCTTGGCCTGGTAGGGGAGCGCATTGACGCCTCCTCTATTAGGAGGATTTCCCATAGTCCTAGCTCACTCCTTCAAGCATAGCGTCTCTTTCCCCACAAGGGCCATCTTCGAAATTTCCTTCCCCGAGTTGCCTTTCTCGGTAGGGATGGAGAAGACAACAGATCGCACTTTTTTCGTAGCTGATCTGCTGATAAGTCACCTCTGACTTGGCAATTATATGCCTTAGCGCCTCTTTTCGCAAGAGGATTTAGTCTGAGACGGCCAAAATTGGAGCTCATCATTTTAGGCTACGCCTCTTATCTTCCTCAGGAGGGCAGTTCTTAAGACTTCTGTCTCTGGACCCATCTAAAGTCTTCGAGCCACATCCTTTGGATGGGATGGGAAAGGCTGCAGATCATCTTTCTGTGAGGCTCGTGCCCTTGGTTCATTGATCTGTTGCGAAGGTTGGCTCATGTTTGTCGGGGTTATGAAGTCCGACTAGGTAATTATATGCCTTAGTGCTTCTCTTAGCAAGAGGGCTTCGCTTGGAATGGCCCATTTTTGGAAGTGTATTTTCCTAGGCTTATATTTTTCTCCTGTGTGGTCAGCCTTGGTTGGCAAGCATCCAAGCTAATGCAACTTGTCTTTCACGCCTATTCCTTAGCGGGGGATGTATGTATCTATGGGCGAGTTCAGCTGCGGCTTTCGATTGAGGTTGTCCGTGCTGACCTCCCACTGATGGAGGGTCGAATAGATGTGGCCAGCTCAAGGGGATAGGAGAGAGTCTGGCTTGAACGGGCAAAATTTGGGGTCGATCCTGCCCATTCCTTATAGGATCAAGACTATCAAAGACACTAACCAACCTCCTCGATGTGATTGTCCTACTGTAATCTGGCGGAACGACAATCTCCCCAGTCATTTGGTGGGTGGCATAGTTGGCGATCATATCTACTCCCACCTTGCTTTTCGGTGAAACAACGACCTCGTTGCTTTCTGAGGAGTTGGCCAATTGACCTTGTATACGCCCTAGCGGTTTTTGCATTGCAACATTTTGCTGGAGATGGCCCTCATGTTTGTGGCGACTGCGGCCAATTCCCTAGTGAGCCTCGCTGCTAGCCTTGGCCTACTCCTCGAGCCACCACTTCGGTGAAGAACTGCTGAAGCAGTTGGCAAAGACTCTTCGTTTATTGGGGTGCTTTGCGAGGACGCTTCCTCATCGAGGTGTTCTCAAGTCCGCCTAGGTGCAATTTTTTCCTCTGTCGAACTCATGGCTCCTCGACAGATAACCATTTTTTGGCTCTGTTCCTGTGCTTGCTTTCCTGTACTCAAGGATTTGGTAAAGTTCATTTTTAGTTGCCTCTTTCAACAACTCGACCATGCCCCGTACCGTTCTTTTTCAAGAACGTTACCTTTTGTTCAAAGGCTTTACTCCACGAGGTGCTCGTGGTTTAGCTATTCCAAGTTTCCTACAGATCGCGCTAATCTATTGACCTTCGAAAATGGCCAACGAGTGCCGGATCCACACGCGTCCACGTGGGCAGATTCCAGTGTGTTAAGATTACTTGTTTGATTAGGCGATGATACTAAACACATAGGATATGCCTTCGACGTGTGACTAAACAGTTCGGACACCGGCTAAAGTGATCGAAAAGCTTGAAGATGCGCGAATATAATTTCGCTTTGACATACTCGAAACAGTTGCACATGAATAGAAAGGAAAGGAAATGAATAAGAGATTCGATGTCTTGAAATGTATGTAGTATTGTTTATTTTTCTCTCCAAAATGTGCCAAAAATTAACATACCCGTTCCTCATTCTTCTTCTTCTCGGGTTTTCTCCTCTTTTTCTCTTTCTATATGTGTATTGTTTCCATTGTTCCACACATCTCTCTCTTCTTTCTTCCTAAGGAGAGGATATATATAGAATTTGGGGAAGATGTGGTGATCGTTGAATTCAAACCACGTGCCCCTACCTCCTTTTTCTACACATCACATCCTTCTTACACATGCATTCATTACATTAATAAAGGGTCAACTGCCCTATATTTCTAAGCTGATATTCTTGACATAAGATAAAGTAGATGCCTAAACAATCTTTCACAAAGATATTCATCAAATCGGCAGATGTGGCAGCCTCATTGTCTCTTAGAACATCAGCCTTGTCTCTTAGAACTTCAGCCTTGTCTTTCAGAGCCTCGGCATGTTGCAAATATGAGAACTTCGACATAAACCTTTCGTCAGGGCTTCGACATGTATCTGGTTGAGTGACACCTTGGCGCCCGAACAAAGACTTCGGCTTCTGTAGCATTCGTAACTTTGTTGCTTCATTTTTTCACATGTTTAGGCTGACTTTACCGATGACGTCAGTGGAACTTCCACATGTTGCTTCTGATGACTAACTTAATACAAGAAGTAACACTAGAGTAATTGCAGGGCTCAATGTAATGTGTATAATTAATGAGCCAATGGCTACCGCCATTGCTTACAGCCTTTACGACGAGACTGGAAGCTCAGGCAAGGAGAACGTGCTTATCTTTGAAATCAAATTTTTTTTTTTTTTTTTTTACTTTTTAATAATATATTTTCCTAAAAATTATTCAAAACATTGTTTTTCCCAAATAATGATCATCAAACAGTGGCTAAGATCAATTTGACACGAGTTTTACTTTGCTTTTGTTTTAGCTTCTTGAGGAAATTATCCTAATGTTTGTTTAAAAAAAATATTTATTAAAACAGCTTTCTAATTCGGTAGTATTGCAAATTTTTTAATCTCAAAATGTTACTTTGATGAATATAATATTTACTCGAACAAATTCACGTACTTGCACTTAAGAGAAGATACGATACAAGAAATAGTAAATAATAAGAGAAATAAAGAGAATTGGTGGTTTTAGAAATGTGTTCAGATATGACTTTCCACGGGTAGTATAAGTGCAATGATTTTTCCCATTTCAACTTCGACATTGAGCTAAAAGATGCCAAATGGCTATAAATGATGCACAAACCTGAGGCAAACGGTACAAATAACTATCCTCAAAATTCAAACCTATAAATGATAGAAAATTGCTCTCATGAAAGAAAATATTTGTGGGGCTTGGAATTGAATGCATTACAACAAAATCATCCATCATAATGGCCACTCTCTTTTTCAAGAAAAGGAAAGAAACGATGAACTTGAAAAATCAAAATTCAGCTTAATCAAGCAAGAAGACCCCTCTGTTTGAAGACATCAAGCATTGAGGTTCCAATCTTTGCAGGCGACTCAACCACAGTAACCCCAGCTTCTCTGAGGGTCTTGATCTTGTCTTGTGCTGTTCCCTTCCCTCCCGATACAATTGCTGCAAAATTCAACCAGGAGATTACAATGCATTTTTAATTGATAAAATTCGGAAGAAATACCTTTTAAAAAGGGTAGCCCAGACAGTTTCAGATATGGAAAGAGAGCTCTAGCATCAAACAACCTTGTCATTCAAAACATTTGTAGAGATATTGATAGACAAACATAGCAAATATAGACCACCAAATTTTCATTCAAAACTCTAGTATTTAATAAGCTTCCGTGTTAATTGAATTCGTGACAATGGAACTGTGCTACGAGATGCTTACAAGACTGAAAAGAGCTTAAGCCCCTGTTTCGCCCCCATTTTCGGAAAATGAAAATGAGTGGAATAGTGTTTTTTTGAAAAATGAGTGGTTGAAAAAGAATGAAAAGTTTTCGATTTACGTGTAATATTATTTTATGGAAAATTTTGTGGTTGAATATAGGAGAGAGAAATATGGAATGTGATGTAATAGAATTTAATGGGGGCCAAACGAGGGCTAAAGCTCACACACAAGACGAATAAGAACACCACCTTTCAAACAACCAAATAAATTATAGGCATAAAACTCTGATCCCAGTATATTTCCATATACTTATTCAGGAGAGGAAAAAAAAAATTGCAAGAAGAGCAAGTTATCTTCTCCTCCCAAGTTTTGACTTCTTCCAAGTAAATTGGAAATTTTTTCACACTAATACATGCACCTGTATCTTTTTCATTCTAGACTAGAATATCTGAGAAGTTTCTCTAGAGAACTTAACATGCCAATATAGATCAATTCACTAAAAACCATCGTTCTGACTTTGGCATTGTCTAAGTAACTGTACTATTATTGTTTTCTCATTTATCGAATTGACTGATCAAAAAACAAAGAGACCACGTGTATAATCAGTCCACCCCCACTAACTTTCAAAGCAAAAACTAAAACTTCACAACCACAGGCATTGGATGTTAATGTAATCGGTCAAAACTGACACCAAGAAAATGGTAGGTAGGCTCCAGATGACTATTTGCTGTAAAATGATCGAAATTCACAAGTCAAAATAGATTGCCAGTAAAAGAAAAATATATATTTATAAGGTGCAGAAACATGCAATTTGTTACATGACAACCTTTTATAAAATAGACGTTACCAGAATTACCAATTAACTCTCCCAAGACATGTCTAACGAGGAAAGGAAATTAGTCACTACTAGATGTTATTTATAGGTTCATGGGAAATAAGATGAAAAAAGATAATAGAAGTACAAGCATGATATTCATCAATTTTGATCGCGATATGGTACCTCCTGCATGACCCATCCGTCGACCAGGTGGAGCAGTAAGTCCAGCAATGAAAGCAACAATGGGCTTCTCCGTCCCACTTTCCTGTTTCAGTTTTAGGAATTAGAGCTGGTTAATTCCAAGTTCCAAATATATTAAGTAATAAGATATCAAGCATTTAACAATAAAAAATACAGAAACTCTTAATATCCTAAAAGCGGAAGCCAAGGTACGCGGAAATAATTCAAAGAATTCTACATGAATAATCCTTAATTATTAATAATTAATAAACTCAACAACGTATCATAATAACTATTTGGAATCACCTACTGACATATCCTCGATCATGAATCGAGTCTTTCACTATTCAATTACACCATCTTTGTTTTCCTTTCTCCTTGCTTCATGCCATTAAGTAGAGCATGGAAAATATAGATGAAATTCATGAAGAAGACTGTATGTGGGTAAGCCTGAGTACACATAGGCTGATTATTTCACTGTAATAGCTCATCAACAATTTTAAGTCTAACCAATAAACATGACTGGTAATGCCAATAAGAGTTGATAATAACTTCAGAATAGATGGACATCTTCGCAACAATACAAGAGAAATGGTGAGTACATGGATCAAGCTTCCCAATTCAGTTCTCAAGCTGTTCGCACGCAGCTTGGTCTAAGCTCTAGATAATGCAGAAGACTTCAAAAACGTTATCATAGGCCTCTAAGACAGATGTGCAGAAGCAGTAATTTTGTATGAATGGCAAGAATTAGTGGTATACAGCATTATCAGAGAAATGATACACCTTTGTTGCCAAACATATTATTAAAGAATACTGTTGAAATATTAGTTATCTATCAACAAAATTATTTTTCGAAGTCTCCAAACAGCTAGATTCACATCTAATCTTTTTCAAACTAAGAGGTCAAAAAGGTAAAAGGAAAATGATTACAAGCTCAATCTAAACTGTAAAGGAAAAATTTACCATCATAAGATGTAGCCTTTAATCCAAATGAAAAAAGTAAAACTTAACAAGTGTTTCACTCACTCCTCTAGGAACATAGAAATATTATTGAAACACAGAAGATAATGATTTAGTTTTCATTATGAAGGTGTGAACTGATAATCACACAGATGAAGCCTTATACAGCACTTGGAACCCAGAAGTTGTAGAGTTAACCATCATTCACAACATGAACACTCTTCTACAATTGTAGGCTTGTAAGAGTGTGTCGTGTGTGTGAATACTTAATAGATACAATATGTCCCCAGCACACATATGCATATTTAAGTTTGAAATGGAAAACTGCATTCTCAAAGCAACACAAAATGTTAAAATTGCATGGTAAATTAACTTCATCGGGTACATAGTATAGACGTCAGGTTACTAAAGAAATTCCCAAATCAAAAACTAGAACCAACATTTATCCCAGAAAGGGAAAGGAAAATAGCCATGCAAGAGCTCAGAATGTTCGCTCAATCATGTACATTTTCGGGACATAATGCTCTTTCGGTTATATCATGCAACTTGTGCAAAAGGTTTTATCCTCACCTTTATAAGGGATGCAGCATCCTCTTCTGCTGTACCACCTATCTCACCAATAAGAACAATACCTGATATAGAAAAAGAAACAATTTAGAACAACAACATTGGATTTGTACGTAATGCTATTCTAGTGACTTTTGGATAAGGGTGAGAGACACCTCAAAACCAGATAAATTATATAGTAAAGTGAATATCCTTATATTCAAGGAATAAAATACAGCAAGGAGTAGCAACCCAATCTACCACTTTCACCCCCAAAAGATAAAATTCCTAAGCCAACTTGAAGGGAGACAGATAGCAGAATGAGAACAGAAAGAAGCTTCACTCATTAGCATGAAAACCCTTTGCATATGCCTAGTACCACTGACACCACTGTCAACTATATATATATGGATTAAGATTTTGGCATCTCCGTGCTCGGATTGAATTCTTTATTTGGTTACTCAAAATAACAGATAAAGATACAGGTCAATGTGCACAAGCATTTACTGGAATTGATTGTAAGACTTCATGAAAAAAATAATGATGTGTTTTGCCTACACAAAAGGCTGTTTAGTGAGTTAAAGTGAAGTACTTCACTGGTTGAGTAAGCACTAATAATATTCCAAAATTCTTCGCTAGACTTTGTAAACTAGAATATTTCTATACCTATTGATTCTGAGATTGATTTGATCTAGCAAGAATTGCTGCTCCTGTTGAACTGACCCTCATGCACAGGATTAGGATTAATGTTGGACTAATGCTTCAAAGAGAACATTAAGGTTTGTTGCCACTGCTAAATTTCCCCGAGTTATAAAATACAATAGGGAAGCAGTTTGGTACTGGATGTAGATTATTGGAACTAGAAATCCATCACACGCACAATCTTCCATCAACTTAATAACCATTTAAAGAGAGGATCATTGCTGTATTCTTTCATTGCTACTTTTCAATTCCATTTAGAGCTCAGTTAGATTATGCAACTTGCAAGTTACTTAGATTAACACTTGAGCATTGATTGAGAAACCTTTTGAAACCATCTTACAAGTGTAAATCCAATTAACTGCACGGTTCTTATTTGTCAAACATTTTAAATGAAAAATTATGCAACTGAGTAAAGAAGTTCTTCTTAAACTGTTTAATATGTGCTTATGCAAATGACTTTTTAACTGAAATAATAACTCATTCCTTCATGTTACTACAGATTTTAGATTTACTTATTTGCTTGCTTCACGCTCTGATTATATATTTGTGTTTGTCAATTTTTTTAAAGTACAAAATATCCTTCTATTATTTGTGGGTTATCACTTCACTTCCCTTGCATTATCTACCTGTGTTTTTTAAAGTACAGGTTTTAACATACACGCACGATTGAGATAGAACTCCAAAGTTACTCCTTTCTGGAATGAAGCATCCACTCTCATACCTGATACCACATTATTTGATGGCATCGTGGCAGCATAATACTTAGCGGAAGCACAAGAAGGAAATCTTTAAACAAATGATTGACTATAAAGTGTGGAAAGTTGATTATAGTGGATCAAGTTGTAGAAGTTGCCAATCCTATTCAATGTAGATGAGAAACATACAACTCATCGCAGAATAGCATTACAAACTGCTAGCCGCTTTAAACATATAGAGTAAATTAACAAGTATCACGCCTACATGTAGACTGAGACAAATTGGAGGTGTCACTCATAAAGAAATGGCACAATTATAACACACTAGAGAAAAAGCTAACCAAAAGGATGGAATTTATCAAAAGAAGCCTCGATAACATATTAATACAAAAGTAAAAAGCAAAGCATCATCTTGCGCCACAATATTGCAAATAATTTGATTACCTCGCCCAATTTTTTTCGATCCACAACTGAAGTGTCTATAGACAACTTATGCGCGACCATGTTTTTAACCATTTAGATGAAGTGATGGTACTTCACACGTGCAAGAGAACACAACTAATTTAATTAATGCAACGAGCATGGCTTTTTAACACAAATAATACGTCACTCTTGCAAATATCTTATGTAACTACCGTGGAGTTTGGCAGAGTTTTTACCTTCTGTCTGTGGATCAGCAAGAAACTTTTCTATGCAATCAACAAAATTTGTTCCATTGAAAGGGTCCCCACCAATTCCGACACATGTTGACTGTCCAAGGCCAACAGCAGTAGTTTGAAAAACCTAGCAAATATATAATATACAAAGTCATTCACACCATTTTGAGAAGCGTGTTACACAAAAACAAAAGGAGCTACATGTACATAATTTTTTTACCTAATTCTTTACCTACTATTCACAATAAGAGGTGGAGACCACAATTGGGGATTTTTATATTCACGCGGGGCCCACGTGCATTGTGAGAGAGTGACAATTGTTGGTACATTCCATTTGGTACAAATGGAATTGTCCAAAACAAAAATCCTCATCACAAAACTTTCAAGCGCAATATAACAAAATCGGAGCAGAATATACTACTGCCAAACAAGCATAAAGTTATACTGTTCTATTGGTTATCAGTAGTAGAATTCCACTAGCAACCAAATTCAGCTGTTTTAACATTTTATGAAAATCTTTTTACTGGAATTTTTTTTTTTTTTTTTAAATATTAATGAATTGCTGAATTGTTTAAAAAAGAGAGAGAACTAAATTTAGGTAATCGTACTATAAATTATCATATAAAGAATCCTACAATTCACCCTCAAATTGATGTCCGGGTAGGATCATTTTAATTCAAACAAGTATACAGGGGATGATCTTTTATCCTTTGGACTTCCATGACTATTATGAGTTCCATTACTTTATACTTTCATGGCAATTAGATTTTATGACTTTCAGAAATCTGCAATTTCGTATTAACACGATCTGTTCCACAGGCTTGTAAACATGTATTTGAAATCTATCACTTCACCCTAATGATTATAAAAAATTGCTTCACTTTATTTATAATAGTGTAATCAGCGCTTCTAAGATGCATTGCTTAAAAATTCTCGATTGATGCCCACCTCAAAGCAAGGCGAACAAAAAACGCCTAAATGCGCTGATTGTGAGACACATTTTGGATGCCTCAAGGCTTTTGAGGTGCACTCAAACTTATTTACTTTGCTTCAGACTAGACCCACAAAACATTATGATATGATTGACCCACTATCCCACTAACTAGAAGAAAACATTAAAAAATTTCTATTTTCTAGTTAACCCACCTTGAGAATCACCTATTTCTAAAATATTAAAAAAATATATGTACCTACAGACTTTTGGAATAGTCCACCACCACCACTATCTAAAATATATTTCTTTTGTTTCTTTGCACACTTTAAATTGTTTTATTATGAATTTTGAAGATTGTTTATGATTTGTTATCTAATTATTTTGCATTTTAATAATGTTTCAAATTTTTTTGGTTTACAATGAGGCTTACACCTCGCCTCAGAAATGAAAAATGCCTTAATGCCCAATTATGCCTTTTGAAATATTTGCTAAGATGATTACTTAACATGTTGTCAAGATACATACATACATACATACATATATATATATATATTGACACGTAGACTTTTTCAAAATTTTGGTACAAGACTTTTTATTACATAGACTTTTTGCTACAAGATTTTGAATTAATTGTACAAAAAATTGTAGATACCAATTAGAGCAACTAGAAACTAATAAAATATTTGGGTGGGAATTCTTTGTACAATCAATTCAAAATCTTGTAGTAAAAATTCTTTGTAATAAAAAGTCTTGTACAATTCAAAACCTTGTAGCAAAAAGTCTTGTACCTGATTGGTTTCTGTAAATTCTCCTTTAGTCTCTTGAAACGTCATCATTTATAAATCCTTTTGTTCAACATTTGGTACTTGAATTTTTTCTGTTTTAATTCTCATGGCAAGGTACTCTTGGCATAAAATAATTTCGTTGTTCCATTGTACTACATACACACACACACACACATGTGTGTGTGTGTGTGTATTGGGGAAATGCAAATTCATTTTTGTTCAAATAACATATGATATAAGGTAGAGAAATCGCATTCACATGGCCAAAACTTTGCAACATTTTAGAAATTTAAATTTAGTGAAAGTAGTGAGAACTAGTTTCTGTTAGCAATGGTAGCCCGGTTTCTCTTTTCTTATTGGAGAGAGGGAGAGAGTTGCTCTTGGTAATTAGGGAGTTATAGTGTGAAAATTGATGAAGGAAGGGTGTAGAGACGTGTGTATAATTAAAGAGCAATGAATTTCTGGGTGGGTTGATGAGCAATATTAGATAGCAGCCACAAGAAAGCTGTAAACAAATGTACGATATGATATAACTCAGACTCATAAGATCGTATAATATTTCGAATAAAATACGAGGATCAGAATAACCAGTGTTGCACTAGTCAATGCATATGTCACATGTTTACATAGTGCTTGTTTGGTACAGATTTTAAGCCAATTAAAATCAATTTTTAGACCGTTATTTCACTATTTTCAGCTGTAATTTTTGAATTCTTTTCTTACAGATAGGACCCACTTTATCCCTAATTGTCAAAAAATCAATTATCAAAACCCCCCACCAAACAAGCACATAATATTTGTGTCCCATGTTTACGTATTTTATGAAAATAAGAAAAGGATAATCCATATGGAACTTCAAACAATAGAAGTTTCCTTATCTGGCCCAAGATGGATTTCAATGATTCCATAGCGTGGGCTGCAGTCTTTGACTCGTGAGGTGCTAATTCAGTGCATTTTTGGCCAAGTTTAACAAAATTGTATATTTCAAAAGAAATAATTTTTTTTGTTGGTCAAACTTTGAAATAAGTAAACTTTACTATTTATAAATAAAAAAGAAATGTTTGGAAACAAAAACTTGCAAGAAAGTTTGACTTACTTTTAAGGTCAGACAAACATGCTCCATAACAAAGCCTAAGGGTCATCCAAGAGGTCCTACATGAAGTTATTTGTATCAGGATTTCTATATCCCATGCAACCAACCAATTTTTGTAACCCTTTCCAACCTTCACATAAGAGATACAAAATTTCAATAAATATTGACGTGACTGGTATTTGACAAGTCTCAGGAGACGTGGAGGGGCAAATGACTAGATATAATCTTTCAAACTTGTGGAATTTCTAACTGTTGAAAAAATCCATTGAATTCAACTGTATAAAGGCACCATATAGATACAAATATGCAAGCCACTGGAAGTCTATGTTGCTCACGGCCAACTATAGGTTGGAGATGCTTTGATTGTAAAATGTACAAAATTTCATAGATAAAATAAAATCCCAATAAAAAAGGATCTCACCGCTTCATAAGTCAGTGTACCAGACCGTGAGACAATTCCAACACGTCCAGGTTTGTGGATGTATCCAGGCATAATTCCAATCTTACACTCCCCAGGCTTGATAATGCCAGGACAATTTGGACCGATGAGCCGAGTTTTAGATTGCTTGTTAAGAGCAGTCTTGACACGAACCTGCATTTTAGAGAACAAAACACTTAGAGAGCAAGAAGGATATAAACCCATATGAACCACATTTCCTGACTTACTAATGATACCCATATCGACATAAACTTCAGCAAAAGCCAAAAGGAGGATATAAACCCAGGCAGTTTATAATAGGTTATTACCTATGAAGCATCAATAAGGACTCTTGAGACATTTTGAATTTGGGTGCTTATAAAATTAATTATTCCCTGTTCACGACAAATGATCTAATTAAGCAGCACAAACAATTAACAGATGTACAAACTTGAAGAACTAGCATCTCTACATGTGACGTACAATTATTTTGTTTACAGTGAATAACTCGTTAAGTTAACCAAAATCATCTTAAGCTTAGTTGCCCAGAAAGAATTAAAAAGGGAGGTTTCTAAGCATGATTTCAACAAGACAGCAAGCAAAAGGAAAATAACTAATCCAAAATGAAACCCTATCTATCATGATTAAATTTTAAACATGAGTAACAGTTCAATGACAAATGGCATTATAAAGCGTTAGTCGCAGAAGCCTGGCCAGCAGGACACAATGTCTTTCTGTCAAGAAGCTTCTTAAGGCACATAGACAAGTAAACTTTAAGTCATAAACCAGCACAATACGATAGGAGTAGAAAACTTCCAGTTTCCGACCTTGTATAGACCTTGAGGGGCACGTTACAAAACTTTAACAGAGAAGGAAAGTTTCTAAACACATTTGAGCACTTGTATAAAATGTGGATTAACATATTATTTACAAAATATATTTTTTATTCACTGTCTCATTGAAATATTCATGATTAGAAATTCTCAGTAATTGTAGTTAGCTCCAGATCATCTATTCCATTTCTCTTTGTTGAAGGGCGAAATGAAAGGAGATTCACTAAATCAGTTTGTTACCATGTCATGCTGAGGGATTCCCTCAGTGATGCAAACAGCCAAATCTAACTCAGCTTCCATTGCCTCCATAATAGCTTTAGCCGCAAAAGGCGGAGGAACATAAATCACAGTAGCATTAGCCTTTGTTTCAGCTTTTGCCTCTGCTACAGAGTTGAAAACAGGAAGTCCCAAGTGTTCTGTTCCACCCTTTCCAGGGGTAACCCCTCCAACCTACATAAACAGACCAATTATGAGCGGAGAAAAATGAGGAAGAAACACATCCAGTTTAAGAAACCCTAGGACAAATTGCAGTAGCATACGGAATCTTCTCTTTCCTTGGGGGAGGGAAGAAATGCTCTATATTTTTAGAATTTCTTCGTTACATTCGCTCAATCCCATACTGTAGGTCTCTGTTTTTCTACTTTTGGGCCCATTTCTACTGCATGTTTGTGTCCTTTTACCCTTATATTTTCCGTCAATGAAAATCCTATGTGAGTTTAACAGTTCACAAGATGTTCAAATATCAAGATAGACAAAAAAGATGAGTACCATCCATATACAGGAGAATTTTAATTAATGAGAAGGTTTGAGATGAAATTTGAATCTAGCACCCATGTTTGTCAGAAGGTTAATCAAAATTCTCGTGAATGCACACAGATAAGAAAAGCATTGAAGGGCAAGGTACCATGTTTCAGTTCTCTCCCGTATTACAGGCTTCAAAGAACCGTATCTAAATTACATACACCACGACCACATTCTCATGAATCCTAGGTGCACGAATACTAAATAATGCATAAACTGACCATTTTTCTGAGGGTACGAGAACTGTGTATGGTACAACGGAAGATTCTCGCTAACCTATAGTATCAAAATTTGTACCTCAGTAAGAAATTACGAGCTTCTTGGCGAATCCACATGTCGGAACCCAAATCGTTAGCAAAACCCACATAAAATACAAAGTATAAATTCGCCATCACATACCAAAAAAAAAAAAAGAAAGGAATAAGGGAATTACAACGAACAATGTCAGAAATAAACAAAAACATCATGACGATTAAGAAGCAATATACCATTTTGGTGCCGTATTCGATGGCCTGTTCTGTGTGGAAAGTGCCATTCTTGCCGGTGATGCCTTGGCAGATGACCCGGGTGTTTTTGTCCACGAATACAGCAGGCGGAGGTGGGGGCGATCCAAAGTTGCGGTACAGCTGTAGCTGCTTTGGGCACAACAGCCGCGATGACAAGATGCTCATCAGTTTCGTCACTTTTCGAGCCATCGATTCAATTTATTAATGCGCAGGTGGCCTCTTAGGTTTACAGTTCGTGCAGAGATCGATAAATCTCTATACTAATATTTGGGTTGAAGGAGAAGAACCAGTGAAGGGTGACTGGGAGCGTAGGGTCGATACGCATGTCGAATTTTCCATTGAATTTTTAAAATTCCTCAGGGTCCCCAACCTTTTATAAATATGAAAGTCAGGACCCCAGCATTCCATTTATGACACCCATGTCCCCAACCACAGCAAACATTATCCGACTTGATAGAAAATGTCTATTTGGACTTAAAATAGTATAGCAAAACGAACCCAATTTGTCTAATTATTTTAAAAAGCTCAAAATTTGTTTGAAGTTAACTTATCCCAATTTTTTACGCCCAAAGTCAAACTGATTATCCAAACTTCATAGGATATACTAAAATAAATAAAATTTAAACAAGACGATAAAATAAATAATGAGATAAAACACCATATTTACATGAAAGAACTCAAAACTGGAAAAGTTATAGATCTCATCAATCAATTGATAGTTCGATTTTACAAAGAAACATATTGAACTAATCCAAATTAAACTCAGTTTGAGATAACTATATTAACATGCTCAAAACTGTATAACAAAAGATTTTAGCTAATAGATGCCGATGTTATCGCTTCAAGAAGGTTTACCATTGGATAACAACCATAGGTTACGTGATGCTCTTTGACCTAAGATTTTACTTTATTTTCTCATCAAATACTTGTATCTAATTTGACATTTTAGGGTTTTTTTTTTTTTAAATGTAAACTATGGTTCTATTATTCAAGATAGAAAAAAGTGACTCACATACTTGCCTATTACACTATCTTTGCGTCCATTTTTTATAGTTTTCCTTGAATATATTCATGGTTTTATCTCAGCATCATAATATGTGGGGAGACAAGTCGTAATGAAATTTCTTTGGAGAGCTTTCCAATGAAAATTGGGAAAGTTATGCGATGAAACGAAGTGGATATTAGTTGACTGACTAAAATGAAAATTTGCTTAATGTTGGTTCCTTTTCAATCTATTAGATAATAGCTATTTTCATCCACTTCAGCGGGGAAATATATGGAAATAGCCTTTAGAAAATGACCACTTTTCCAAAATGACCTTTGGTCAAAACCAAAAGTACCCCCATTTGAATATTACATAATAAGATATTATAATAAAGAGATCCTCTATTTTAGTTCTTAAAATTAAATTTTGGTTGAAATTTGATAGTTTTTATTTGATTAATACTTTTTATTTGATTTTTGCTCTAAGTATCCCCCTTTATTGGTATCAGAGCCATAGAGATCATGAGAAAATCTATAAAAAATGTATTACTTAAAGAAGTAAAAATCTTTAGATTTAGATTAACACTTAGATTTCATATAAATTTAATAAATAACAGATTAATTATTAGAAAATTAAAGGAATATTTAGATTATACATCTTTAAAATAATAATTGATTTAATACACAAATATTTGCATCTTGATAAAAGCATAGAGACCATGAAAATTAAAATAAGAAAAATAGATAATTATTGGTGTTTAGAAAAAGAGAGATGTAGTTATATATTTTTAAAACCTATTCATAATAGATTAAAAATAATGACACTAACAATAATTAAAAAGTTACCTAGAGAAATAAAAGAACAAATATTAGAAAAATTAAAAATAGAAAAAAAATAAAAGATATATATACATATGAAAAAATTATTAATATATATGAAGATGAAGAAAATAATTTATACTACAAAGAAAAATATGAGTGCAAGTAATAATACATATTTCAAATTGAATAAATTACTTATAAAAATGAAAAAAATACGAAATATAATGTTAATACCAAAAGGAATGAGAATATCAAATAATAGACAATTAATAAAATTAAAATGTGAAAAATTAAGATTTGAGAGTAGATATTTTACTATAGCAAAAGAATAATTAGTAGATCAAGATACAACTGAGAAAAGATTTGGAAAAATAATAGATAAAAAGAAAGATAAAAGATGCAAATTAATCTATGAGTTAGAAATAAGAAAAAACTAAGATGTCAATAAGTGAATATATGGAAGAATTAAACTCATTAATAAAAATGTTAATAAATGATGTACAAGATTTAAGAAATGAAATAAAAGAAACAAGAAACGATATAAATATATTAAAATTTGAAATTAGAGAATTAAAAGAAAATAATAAAAATAAAGATAAAAAAATAGATAAAAAAAACTTATAGAAAAAGAAATGCCTCGAATAGGAAAGAAACATATAGAAAAAGAGAATAGTGTAATAGAAACATGAAGTATTGATGATGAATTTAGAAATAATATATTACCAAAAACATTAGAAGAGGAATAAGAATCTAGCGAAAAATCATTAGAAAAATTAAAAAGAGAAGATAAAAATGAATGAAGTGTTAGATTCACTAATAGAAAAATTTGATCAATTAAGCTTAACTGATATAAGTGAATACCAAGTTTTAATGAGTGCTGGAGGATGATCTAATTCAGTAGGAACCTCTAAACAATAATTACATGATACATATGAAAGTTATGCACCTATATATAATAAATTATATAGACAATCTTATGATAAAGTAAGAGATAGATAACCACCTAAAGGAAATAAATATAATGATATGTTTGAATTAAATGATAATTATGATAAATCAATTAATCATGAAGGAACGAAACTAGAATTAGATTGTAAAATAGATACTAAAAAAGCCTTATTAACTTGGACAGATTCAATGATATTATTTTTTTTATATAATAAAGATGACACGTGAAAAAATACTGAAAGAATAATAGATTTTTTAATAACATCCTTTAAAGGAGATATTAGAAATTGGTGGAAAAGAATAAGCAATGATACAAAAATATTAATAAAAAGAAATGTACAAACAGAAATAATAAAATCGGATAGACAAGGTATGTAAAAATTAGTAGAATATATTTCAGATGAATTTTTATGAGAAAATTAGATAAAAAAATGTTGAAGGAGAATCAATAAAAGAAAAATATAATGCTAAAATAAAATTAATAAATTTAACAATATATGATATGTGTAAAATTAAATAATATACTTGTGAATTTAAAAATTACGATTATGTTCAATTTTATAGTAATGAAAATCAAAAAGTATACCAAGATATGTACTATAATAAATTATTAGGTTCATGGAAAATATATTTTAAAATAGAATTTGAAAAAAATGTTAGAGATAATATTGGAATATCTATAATTTTATGATCAATAATAAAATTTTTATTTGAAAGATTTACATATATATGTCAACAAAGACAATTAATGAAAAAAATCATGAAAATTAACTAAAATATGTTGTGAAGATATGGAAACTCATGTGTAATAGGGATGTAATCCCGAAATAATATTTAATAAAAGAAAGTATAAAAATAAAAAATTTTAAAAATTTAGGAATTTTAGTAAAAAATATATAAAACCTATAAGAAGATATTACAAAGAGAAAAATATCCCATATAATCAACAGGAGAATAAAAATAAAAATAAAAGTCAATGTAAATGTTGAAATTGTGGAGAAATGAGTCATATAAACCCTGATTGTGATAAAAAGAAAGTTAGAATATTACAAAAAGAATATTTAGAAATAAAAGATGAATTAAGTGAAATATCAAATATTGAAGAATATTATAATCAAGAAGTATATATAAGTGAAACAGAGGATGAATCAAGATCTGAATAGAGAAATAGAAAATAATAGAAAATAATAACATAAATATACAAGAATATAAAGGAATAGAAGGATATGGATTAAAAATCACTTTTGATAATAATAAGTTTAGAAAATTGCAAAAATTATCTTTAGACCTAAAAATAGGAAAATGGGAAGTCTTTGATAGAATTTGAAAAAGAGAAAGATTAGCAATAAATGAATATCACAAAATTAAAAAAATTAAAAAACCCATAGATGTTAGAACAATTTATGGACAACATAAATTAAATCTTTTAACAAAAAATACAGTTGAAGAACTATTAACAAAAATTAATAAAAAATAAAGTGGAAAAATCCAATATGTTTATTTAGCAGGAATACAAATAATATTTAAATCACTATTCAAAGAAGTGATAGATTCACCCTTAATTATAACTTTACATGATGGAAGAATAATAAATTTAAAAGATAGTCATTTAGAAATAATAAAAGGAAATTTAGCATATCAAAAAATTATGCTTACATGTGATCCAAAATATTGTGTATCATTAAAAGATAGAAATTTTAATGAAATTTTAGGACGACATTTTAAGTTTCATGGAAATGATATCATGCAATCGGGTGATTAAATTATGACTATAGAATATAGAGTTTTATATACATTTACCAATTCTAATTATGGGAATATTTATTTTAATAAACCATATATTGAAGTTCATAAAGAATGTAAAGATATTAGTAAAATAATAGAACCAAATAAACAAATAAACTTAATTCCAAAAAAATATGAATTTTGAAATAACATATTAAATGAGGGAGAATGTTCTAATAGTATTATATTTAAGGATGAAAAATTAATTAAAATATCAAAAAGTTTTAAAATACTCAATAAAAATCAGTTAGAAGAAATCAATAAAATAAAAGAAGTAAAATTATATAGGAATACTGGAAATATGAAAATAGAAGCCGAATATTATAATGGAAGAAAAAATATAAATGAACCAAATATATTAATAGATAACGAGCTAGTGAATGTCATATAACTTCGATTAGAAATAAATGTTTAATAACTCATAAAATTGAGTCATATAAGTATGTAAATTTTGATGGACATGTACATATTACAGATTTAGAAGTTAAGGTACCAATAAAAATAGGAGGAATAAATCTTTTAGTACCATATTATATATATAATAGTATGGATATAAACCCCCACATACTTTTAGGAATGGATTTTTTAAATGGATTAGAAGATTATAGTATAAAAAGAGAAGGATTATGTATTGTTCATAATGGACAAACTACATTATGTAAAAAGAATTAGATGAATAATGAGATAAGTTCTTCATTAGCTGTGTATATACAAATTACTATTGTGGAAACAAATATACCAACTTGTACTTTAATAAATACAGAAAGTGA